ATAATTATTCTCATCATGAAATAATTAATTAATTATTGATATAATAATATTATTATTTTATCGCGCAATACATAAAGGCATTGATTCTTAATTTTATGACGGGGACAGTAATATTTTCAAGACTTATGATATAGTTTTTCTTGTAATAAATTAATTATACAAGTAGAATTGGCACATGTACCAAAAATATTAATTATAATTATAACCAACATATATCTCTTTATTATAAATTAGTAATAAATATTTACAATGTCTATAGATATTTCAACATTCAGTCTTTGATTATAATCGAAAGCAATATTTTAATTTTTATTTTTATTTTGTAAAGCGTATGTGAAAGATGAATTGATTCTAGGAGATTAAATTGATGTATAGATCAAAAATGGCTCCATACATCGTATATATACATATATACTGTGTGCTTCCATTACCAAGACTATTATCGTACATGTAACGTTATTAAGATGAAATGTGTATACATTTATATGTATACATATATAAAATTATAGCTTATATTACATAGTTATATTAACTATGTATTATATAAAAACCGATTTATATTCATATGTATATCGATCTGTGATGAACAGAAAAAAATAGTAAAAATATGCGCGTTCATTATTAATACTTATTTATAACATTGTTAAATATGCCTTAATTAGTAATTGTAATCGTATAGTAGAGTGACTTCTTTGTGCAATGACTTATTTTTAATTCCTTGCATTCAGTGGCATAATGTAAGGAAGAAGAAATCCCATTTTGTGGTATTTAAGTTAAAATATTTGTATATATACATATTTTCTTTTCTTTCTTTCTCTCTCTCTCTCTCTCTCTCTCTCTCTCTCTCTCTCTCTCTCATTTGTTACCTCTTGTAAACATTTAATTATTACCATGAACAATCGAAGTTACACAAGCGAAATTGTCTAATTGTAAGATTTCGGTGCTTACATATATAATTAGTTATATTTAGTCATGTTTCATATTATCTCTTCTTGTCTATAATCTATGTTGGAATAAATACTTTGGAAAAAATATCATAATAATTTTTTAATTTCTTTCGTACATTTATGCTAAAACTTTACTCAAATTATTATATATAATATGAAATAATTCTTAATTGTTAATTTTAAACTTCATAGATATATCTTTGAACAAAAAAATGTACAATAATCTAAAACAATGAATACATATATAGATTTCCATATTAAAATAAATTTGATGTAATGTTTAATATTACATGTATATCTAGTTAAAAATAGAATTTATTAAATTTTATAGTAAATTAATAATATCTAAAGTAAAATTAATATTATTAATATTGCATAGGAAAGAATTAAAAAAATTTATAAATACAACAAATACAAACTAATAAATATAAATAAAGATATATATTATACTACTACTGATTGATTTTATCTACAATAGGTAACTATTCATTTAATTTCCGGACATTATAAGCTTAATTGAATTTACGATAGATTGAGCATAAAGTAATATTTCAATATATTATAAAATCTTTAGACAAAAAATGTTTTCTTTGCTTGATTTAAAAATTATTATCAGAAAAGAAAATTATGTATGCATTCTCATATATTAAACATAAAAATACTTTGGTGTGCAATAGCTCTATCTTTCCAAGAAATACTATTTAACTTACTATAATTATTTTTTCTACATGAACATATTATTGTTCTTATAGAAATATAATATTAATTAATTTATTAACTGATTAATTAATTACTGTTTTTCAGTATTAAATTAATTAGTATTAAATTAACTAGCATTAGATTTCTGTAAGGATTTTCAGACAATATAATCGTTCGAATTTAATGTAGAGAGTCGTAAAATGTCAAAGAAACTTACATTTTCTTAAGTATTGTAATATGTTTACTTCCATACATATTCATTCATTTATTTATATGGTAAAACAAGTATCAATGGTCATTATTGCGCTAATTTACTTTTAGAGTCGCGAGGATAGATGTAGTATCTACATACTTCCCGTCGTCGAGCGATGTAATAATAAAGCATTATGCATTTTACGGATTATCAGGTAGACCACGGTCGCTTATGCGAAGAGGCGCCTTATCAGCAGCAGCATGCGTTTGCACTCAGCAATAGCAGTCTCCGCCTTTATGGATCCACTTCTCTAACGTTGTCGACTTGTCGTGTACTACATTCTTTCTTTATTCTTCTCTTCGTACACGATTTCTGCCTGTATTGCTTCCTAAATGATCTAACTGCCATTATACGTGACAATATGCGAATATTCGTAGAATTACGTTTATCTACAAGAGCAGCTTCGCACCGAAGTAGACGAACTGGATTCCAGATCCGGTTGGCCCTCATCAGTGCTTCGAGCAACATTGTACAGGATTTTAATGAAGATTGACTGTTTTGATAAAGATAATGATGCAGGTAATAATAACGTCGGTATACAGGTGCGGCGCCGGAGATGTATCGATACGGATCGGTATCGCGTGCAAACGTAACGGACGCGGTCAAGCCATGTCATAACGACTGAATGCTCGTAATGAAATCCTACAATCGAAAGATCGGTAACAGTAATGTTTAGTTAAGAGTAATAAGTGATAGCAAAAAGTCAAGGTTACTATTTGAGCAGCGTGATGGATGTGAAGATATAGAACCTAGAGATAATCTACTTTAATTGACAATTGAAATTTACTAAATCATGATTGTTAATAAAGAAGACTT